CGAGCAGTCTCCCCGCGACCGACCGACCGAACTAACCGCCCCCCCCCACGCATGACGTTATATGGTATGGAATAGCTCTTTGGTCAGTTTGGGTTAGCTGTGCTAGCTGTGCTGTACTCCCAGCTTGTTATGCACCTGGGCAAGCAGGAGAAGCTCAAAAAGTCCTTGAGTAGTCTGAGCACTACTTGGCAACAGCTGAAAACATCAGTGTGTTATCAACATTCTTCTGGTACTAAATCCAAAACACAGCACTATGCTAGCTACTATGAAGAAAATTAGCTCTATCCCAGCCGAAACCAGGACACCTGGGATGCACCACGAATGCTTGCTGTTGTGGTTTAGTTCCTCCGAAGCACTCTGTAAGCACTTAACTGCCAGAGCCCTGAGTAGCTATAATAACAAAATGTCAAATTCTCACCGCGGGGTTAAGGCAGCTGATCATGGATCGGTGTGGCTGCACTGGGGAATGCCTTTTTAAACCAGTCTGCTTTGCAGGCTGGGTGGCACTGGGTGCAGCCTCCTACCTGCTCTTGTGTTCGGTATGACTTAGCGCTTACGTTGCTGGTGGGCATGATTCTAGCTATGGCATTGCAGGAAAATAACAGGCAGCTGATGAGTTTGTGGGGTGTGTGTATTTGTAATGCTGATGCATATAAAGCTCTGAGGGTGAGAAAGCTTGGCGTTACTGCGTCCACTCCCTCTGGTACTCTGATGACAGCTGTGCTGCTGACAAAGTCTGTACTGAAGCCTTTTAAGCTGACTATTCTTCACAGTTTATTAAAACAGAGAAACAAGTTAAATTTGCAGACCCTTTCTCAGCAGTAGCGCAAGCCGAGCAGCTGTCTTGCCTTCTTGCTTGGTTCTGTTTAACATCACTTTGTCTGGAAAAGTTGAACCAGCTCAGAGCAAGTGCTGTGGACTTTTGAAGGTTGAAGTTTATTTTAGAAACCTTGGTGGTAAGTAGTAGGTTTGAGAAGCTTTCAATTACTTGAAATGGAATTATAGTGTCGCCTCCTGAGCCAAGACTTTGTGTCCCAGCAAGGAGGGAAGGAGCCAAGAAGTGCAAATGCCTTAAAAGGAGAGGAAGCGCGTAGTTATCTGCAAACTAATATTGGTATCTTCCTGGATCACATGGAGAAGAACGTTTCCCAAGTTTCAAGTCTCGTGCCTTGAGGGAAGCTCAGAATAGCAGTAATGCCATAAATGCAGTGGAGCAGACCGAGTAACAGGCTCGTTTGTCGACTCGGCGGGATGCCACCATTGCATGGTGATGCCACAGAGGAGCAGGCCTTCGCATGTGATGTAGCTTCCCTGAGCCACCTCCTTCAGCTGTGCGAGGTTGTAAACTGCTGCTGCTGCAGGTGGCATGATGGGTGATGACTCCTTGGGTGGATCTGGAAATGTGCTTCATTCCCCCAAATTTTGAGACATTTGGGCTGTGCAAAGTGGTGCCTTAAATGTGCTTAAGTGGATTAGCTTTCTTTGGCATGACCTTTCCAAAGAGTCCTGTTCCAGTCTTAAAATTTGATGTCCTAAGGTTGTTTCAGGCTTACACCTTTACCTTCAGGATAAGGACATTCCGCCTTGTGTGGGTTATATGATGGGGAATAAGCATCTGTGACCCCAGTGAGGGTTTTTTGGGTTTAGATTAAACCCCGAGTGAGTCATGCAGTTAAACGTGTGGTTTTGCTGCTTTGGAGTGGAAAACAGTTAAGCCCCTTCAGAGACAGCTTGTGCTTTGGCCAGTGACTGATGTGTCAGGTTCAGCCTGGAGGAATTCAGATGAAGTTGTGTGAGCCCTTACAGTGCCAGAGACCCCCCCGTGGCAGGGAATGTGGCACGTGAGAGTGGCTGCTTGCCCAAAGCCCTGCCTGTACGTCCTCCCTGCCCTCACCTCTCCTCTCAAGTGTTAGTACTAGACCCAGGGTTTTCTTCCTGAGAAAGATGCTCAGCTGTCATTCTGATAAAGAAAAAAAAAACCAAACCAGATTCTTTCTACTGTAGTTATAGATGAAACACTTATTTGTCTTCCAGAATCGTTGTTGCAGTTGCCCAGCTGGCACTCATAGTACATTGAATTCAGACAGCAGCCCAAATGATCCAGCATTCATATTATGTAGAATATACAGAATATGAGTGTCTGCAATGTCTGAAGGATATTTTTTAAAGTTACCCTCAAAGCAGCAGTGGAAAATTTCTCATGGTGCTCAGAAATCTGGAAATGAGAGTCAAGGGGTATGGTATTACTTTTTTTTGATTAGGTTTTTAAAAAACTACTGTATCTGTGTTGCTGCCTTTCCCTTTCTCTGCTAGCCCACACTCCGCT